TTTTATAAGGTAGTGTGATTCTGCTGAGACAGAAGCAGCCATCGAAGCCCTAGCCAATCAGGGCGTTCAAACTCAATACATCAGGATCATCCGTGAGCTGAATTACAGATTCACTACCAGGATTTCACCATTCTACAAAGAAGTGATAATCCATATCATTAGAGGGGTTCGGCAGGGTGATACCATTTCACCGAAACTCTTCAGTGCGACCCTTGAGAACATCATGTGACGACTGGAATGGGAAGGAATGGGAGTGAAGATAGACAGTCGGCAACTACACCATCTCCGCTTTGCTGATGACATCGTTCTAGTAACACCAAGCGTTAGCAAAGCGGCACAAATGCTGGCCGACTTCGACCGTGAGTGTGGAAATGTTGGACTACAGCTGAGTCTCATGAAGACAATGTTTATGAGAAACGGTCTTGTTCCTGACGTTCCATTCACTCTCAACGGGACAAACATCTCCGAATGCAACAGTTTCGTGTACCTAAGTTGAGAAGTCAACATGACAAATGACCTGGCACCTGAGTTGCGCAGGAGGAAGAGAGCAGCTTGGAACGCCTTCAAGAGCATCGAAGAAATAGCTAAGAGGACGAAGAACCTCTGACTCCGGGCACATCTCTTCAATTCCACTGATCTTCCTGCATTAACATATGCCTCAGAGACCTGGGCCCTACGCAAACAAGATGAGAACGCTATTCAGGTCTCCCAAAGAAGAATAGAAAGAGCTATGCTTGGAGTACCACATTTCACTCAAATGAGAGAAAGAATCCGGAGTTCCGACCTCCTTCGACGGTCAAGAATCAGGGACGCTGTCTCATTTGCCAAGGCGTCAAAAATCAGATGATTGGACACATAATGAGATTTGGAGACGACCGCTGGACTAGAGCCGTTACCGACTGGATTCCACGGGACATCAAAAGACCGTGTGGCCGCCCACCTACCAGATGGTCAGACTTCTTGTCAAGACCCTGAACGATCGATTTGAGGCTTTTTGTGTTCCTAGAACGAACAGACACCATTGGGTTACACTAGCACGCGATAGGGCGAATGGAGACATTACTGGCGCCCGCTCAAGCAAATCGATGATTAACGGGAAGTCAAGTGATCAAGTGATCAAGGTAATTCACAATATTTGATTACATTTAATATTCAAACACCAATCCCACCTCTATTACACCTTCCCACCACCATATTTGGGATGTTTCGATCCCAAGCCCCAACCCCTGTCCCAAAGCACAACCAAAATAATATATTTTGTATTGTTTGTTATGAAAAACCATTGAAAATGCTACAAAAAAGTATCCATAGAGGAAACAGTATGAAGATTGTTCTATTTTGGCAGGCACCATTAAGACATTCTTTAGGATATCACTAATATGTTGTTAAAGGTTGACTAATGTGAGCTTCTGTATCTGAAAATATGTATATGTGCATATATATATATATATTTCCCTCTATGATTGGTTGCCTACTATTTGAACCCCATCAAATGTGGTGTGTTACTCTGCTACAAAATTCTTAAGTGGCATACCCGAGATATGATGGAGAGGATGATGATACCTCTAGGGAACATTAAAAGTGGAAGGAAGTCTTTAGAAGTCACTTGGTCTGCAGTGCTTTCACACTTGGTGGGTGGAAGGGTGACAGAGAATACAGAAGTGGGGGAGCGACTGAAGACCGGTGGGACCCGGAGAGAAGAGCGGCAGACATCCAGCGCCCTCTCACCTTCTCTCCATCTTCCCAGTTGCTGCTGTGTTGGCCCAGGCTTGCACTGGCTCAGGGGCACTGCTCCCTGGGGAATCACACAGTCAGCTGGGTGCTAGCACACTTCCTTGCAGAGGTCACCCTCTTGGTGTGGTGCTCACATGCATTCCAGTGGTATTGCTTGCCTGGCTCATTAGGTTACTTTCCCAAGGTCGCACACTTGTCATCATGGTGTGTACACTTGACTGTGCACAATAGGCCACACACTGTGGTGGTGATAGCAGAGCCACTGGGACCCTACTAAGGGTATATGGGCAGCTAGGGATTAAAACTCATGACCTCATGCCTGTGAAGCTGGTGCGTTAATTTTTTTTTAATTTTTTATTCTTTTTTGCTCTTTGGGTCACACCCGGCGATGCACAGGGGTTACTCCTGGTCCTGCACTCAGGAATCACTCCTGGCAGTGCTTGGGGGACTGTATGGGATGCCAGAACCGAACCCGGGTCAGCCGCATTCAAGGCAAATGCCCTACCCGCTGTGCTATTGCTCCAGCCTCGAAGCTGGTGATTTTAGACAGAGTCATCCATTCCCCTGGCTCTCTACCTCCTTCTTAGGCCTCCTTGATTTCTAAGTTACTCAGGGTAAATGCCCTCATTAGCTTCTAACAATAATGCAGAGTCATAGACTTAGAGGTTTAGAATCCCTTTACAATCATACCCTGTTTCATGTTTTGGGGGTAAAGTGGACCACTAGACAATCATGGTTCTAGTAAGCGAAATCCAATAATGTGGGGGTGTAGTAGGCTGAACTAACTATGTTTGTCTAATTATACTCTATAGTGCTTGCACAATGATGAAAGTGTTGAATAGGGCATTTCTCAGAAGGCATTCCCTTGATAATTGATGCCCAGCTGTAGATCAATCAAAGCCACAGATAACAGAATGGCTACATTGTCTATTCCAGGTGGGTGGTTTCCAGCTCTTTGGGTGATTCTATCTTCAAATAAGATAAAATTTAATGGAAAATTCTAGCTTCAGAATTAAAAGTCAAATGAGGAGTTAACACGACCTGCATATCAGTTCCTTGAGTCCTTGACAGGAGCGATCCCTAACTGCAGGGCCAGGAGTGAGTCCCAAGAACAGTGGGGTGTGGCCACCAAATAAGAACCAACCAAACCAGAACAAACAAAAACTCAAATTTTGCGGTGCCAGTGTTATCTCACAAATGGAGAAAATGGCTAGCTTCTGTCTTCTTGGTTTTTGAGGATAGTAAAGAATAGTACACCAACTCCCAATGTCTTCAGCATACAGCACTGTATTTATGGCTCATAAGAGGTCAACAGCAGGGACTGGAGCAATAGCACAGAGGATAGGGTGTTTTCCTTGCACACAGCTGACCCGGGTTCAATTCCCAGCATCCTATATGGTTCCCTGATTACCACCAGCAGTAATTTCCGAGTGCAGAGCTAGGAGTAACCCCTGTGCATCGCTGGGTATGGCCCCCCAAAAAAGCAAAAAAAAAAAAAGGTCAACAGCAGCCTCTGTTTAGGACAGGTTTCCTGATATCTCCCTTTCAGCAACTATTTCAGCAGATTTCAGCAGCATCAGCGTTTTTCTCAGGCAGGACCGCACTTGCCGCAGCCCAGGATGTGTACTTATATACTTTATGCATTTCCCCACCCATCCCTTGTTGTCCTGTTGTCTGATTGATCACACAAAGCAACCAATCAAATCACATAGATAAAGATGAATCAGATGGTTCAGATGAAGACCAAACAGGCGTTTATATGCACTACCCATATAGTGTATATACAGAGCCGACTGCCTCCTTCACTTCCTCTCTAACACTGGAATTGAATTCTGGGCCTCACACCTACAAGAAAAGTGCTGTATTTATTGAGCCACATCCCTATTCCTTGACCCTTTATTTTTTTATTTTTTAAAAATGTTGATGATCTATTTTTGGGGGTCTCTCAAGTGGTACTCGGGAAACCCAGGGAACACTTCCTGCAAAGTTCAGCCAACTAGGCTTGTGGTTCAGTACGAGGGCCAGGGAGTGTGGTGTTGCTTTTGTCCTGCACCACTGAAGACCATCAGGGTCACCTGGAGATGCTTAGTGGCCTCTGAGGCAACAAGGCAATCCCAAGAGATGCACAGGAGGTTATGTGGTACAAGGGTGGTGTGGGGAGGAGAGGGGGTCAAATTGTTTCCCAATCCTTGTGGCACCCTGCCCACTGATCCTTTATTGTTTAACTTTTTTTTGTTGTTGTTGTCTATTGCCTGTAAGTCAGATGTCTTTAGCCTCCAGACATTCTTTGGCGCCCCCCTCCATTATTCTTTGTCCTTGATGCCCAGCTGTCTTGTCAAATTGCTGCTCCCAATGCAAAGAAAAGGCAATCAATCAATATTCAATATGTTTAAAGTGCATTCACTGTTCTCTGCTTTTTATTCCAAGCTCACTCCCTGTTTAAGAAAGCCTAGGGTTGGTAAGAATGAAGAGCCAGATTAATGAAAATGGAATGCATGGTTGGTGGGGCTACAGGAGGAAGTGAGCAAGTCATTGAAGGTAACTGGTACCTTTTTTTTTTTAATCAAAAGCGGAAAACAAGAACAATGGAATAAAAATAGTTCTTTGTACATTATACAACATGACTTTTCCCTAACTTTCATTTATATTCTAAGAAAATGTGTTTTAAGGTGATTATTATAATAAAAGATTAAAAAAAACAGCACTGAACATGTGGATTCTATAACAATAACCGCAGTGTTTACAGGCACAATGCTGATAAGTTGTAGAGCCAAATTTATGTCTGTATCTTTTGTCTCTCCTTACATGTTGCACAGTTGGCTTCCTTTGAGACATTCTGTGTTCTGAAGGGCCACGTGTCAGGGATCACATCCTAAGTGAATGAATGGATAGTGTGCATACACCCTTCACCATTTGACTTGGGGGTTCATTATAATTCTATTTTGAGCATTTTATGAGTTTTTATTTTTTTACCCAGATTAGTAAACATGGGGAAACAGTTTCAAATTTAGATGAGGGCAGGACTGACCCCTTTCTACAAACCACTTCTTTTTCTTCCTTGTTTATAGGAGAGAGTTTGAAAGTGTTCATAAGAGTTACGCCTCTCAACGGAAGGTGACTCAAAATGAAGAGGTTTCAGTTCAGGGTGTTTTTTTCTTTCCTTTTTTTTTTTTCTTCAAGTTTTCACCAAAGGAAGTTAGAAATACGTTGCATAAATTTAGAGCAGTAGAGGAGATGAGACTAACCTAGGAGGAAATGTGTTCTAATGGGAACCCATGGGGCATGTGAGTTACCATGACCAAAATAGTCCTCCTTAAATTACTTTTGGCAGCAGGGATCACATTGATTTTAATGTTGCCAGAATATTTCAAGACATCCAAAGGTGAGTCCATAATTATGATCTATCTTTTGGCTTTCTAATTTACAAAACAGTATGTTAGTTAATGGCTACAGAGCTCTTCTCTGTTGATGTGCAAGTTCTAAGTCTGGAAAGTTAATAAAATGAGATCATAAATTTAATTTACTATCACCTAGCACAGTAATCTAGCTCATTGTACTTAATTATTGTAGCAAACAGAAAATTAAAATAAGAAACTAAGAAGAAATATTTAGACTTTCCAGTTTCAATTTCAAACCCTGGAGTTATAATAATCTGATGGATGCTTTGTGCCTTTTGATAAGAGTTTCCTTTGGAAAGGTTGAAGTGTGCTTTTATATCCTGGAACTAATTTATTAGGAAAGGAATGTTTACTGAATTAAAATGTTGTGTTTTCTCCATAACAATTTTTATGTAAATAATTCACTGTCACTTTTTGAAAAACAGAAGAGTTTAAGAATTTGATTTAAATACAAAATGTAAATTTTAGTAGTTATGTGTGGATGTATTTGTAATGAGAGAAAAATAAAACAAAATTGGCTGTATTTTTAGGGAATTGCAGTATTGCTGAAACTTATGGCAAATAAAAACAAATAAACAGCACAAATTAAAAACAATTTTTATGTCAGCAAAAGATTGAAAATATGTTAAGATAATTGGATGACAGTTGTGCTGCCTAGAATTTAATAAGAAAAAAGAAAAAGAAAAATACTATATTTTATCATCAAAAAGTTATATAGATGTGATTAAAACCAAAGAAAAGTTTATATTTGAAGACTTGCTACAGTGATTATTGTTGCATATACACAAAGCTAAGTGTCCAGATCAAAATGTTTTGCTAATTATATTTGATGATATATTGCACTGATTATTCTTTTTTTTGGACGGGTTTGCACTGATTATTTAATGTTGTATATACTTGATGCTAAATTCTCAGATAAAAACACTTTAGCTAAATAAATACTAGGACTGTGATTTTGTAAGTGATTGAAATTCTTCATTTAGTCTTGGGTTTCTGGCATTATGTTGTTTAAATGAAGCAATATCTATTTTTTATTATTTTATGTTTTATATTTTAGTTCTTTTTTGATACCAGTATAAAAATAAAGTAATAAGTTTATAAGTTGCAAAGACAGTTCTAGGAAAGAAAATTGCATACTGTTACTTTGGGCTGGAATGATAGCACAGTGGGTAGGGCATTTGCCTTGCATGTGGCCGACACGGCTGACCCGAGTTCAATTTCTCCACCCTTCTGTGAGAGCCTGGCAAGCTACCGAGAGTATTTCACTCGCATGGCAAAGCCTGGCAAGCCTGGCAAGCTACCCATGATATATTCGATATGCCAAACACAGTAACAAGTCTCACAATGTTACTGGGCCCGCTCGAGCAAACTGATGAACAATGGGAGGACAGTGACAGTGACAGTGACTTTGAACTAACTAACAGGTTAAACCCATTTGTATGTCAGTCAAGACAAAGTGAGTCCTTGGCTTGACCTAAAATGATCAGAGCAATGTAAAATATCTGTCCATAAAGCTCACCACTGATAGAATAATTTTATGTCCACATTATTCTCAAAAAGAGGCTCTAACAAAATCAACATCAACTTAGTATATAAAGTTAGCAGTTGAGAAAGAACTAATCATTTTCAATCTGACATAAAGCAACTGTGAGAAAAATCAGCTAGTATCATAAAAACAATATTCAATGCAGTAATTTCAGAAAAAGAAAAGAGGGCACCCCGATAGAAATTAACTCATAACTGTCCATAAATAATCCTGTACTTTAAGATTAGCATCACTGTATCACTGTCATCCTGCATCGAATTATTCAAGCGGGTGCCAGTTACGACTCTATTCCTACCAGCATTGAGATTTTAGCAGCCTCTTCTTATTTATCTTTTCCAACGGTTGGAGGCTCTTTCAGGGTGAGGGGAATGAGACCTATTGTTGTTACTGTATTTGGCATATCGAATACACTTCGAGGAGCTTGCCAGGCTCTACCCGTGCGGGCGGGATACTCTCAGTAGCTTGCCGGGCTCTCCAAGAGGCATATATTTATATATTTCTCTCTATGATTTGTTGCCTACTGTCTGAACCCCAAGATTAACATTTATGTAGAAAATAACCTAGTATAAATCAGTGATTTAACCTAGTATAAATAAGGGACCCAAAGATCAATAGAGTAATTACTCCTTTTCTTCTTCTATTAGAAGAGGGTTACTCTATCTAAAATTTAATGCACACTCTTCATATATATATTATAGCATCATATTTAACAATCTATTTATATACGTGTGTACACCCATCTATTACATTTACACACATATGCTTATTTGTGTATATAGAAAATATTTCTTTTACTTTCTGTGAGAAAGAAAGATTTATCAAGAGGACTGGAATGGTCCTGATGATGAAAAAGGTTATGTACATGGTCAGTCTCTAGCACCAGGCCAGCAATGGTAGTATTATCTGAGAGAGCATGGTTGTTTCTCTAACATCAGAATACCAGGGATCATTTGAATCAATTCCTGGAATATAGACTTCTGAGGATAGCATTTTTTTTTCTGCTTTTGGCCTACTCAGGGTGGTGCTTAAGTGCTAGTCCTGGTAAAGACAGCACTTATTTTTAGTTATTGAGTTCACTGAGTGAAAATATATGATACTGTGCCTCCAAAATTAAATAGCCACTTCTCCTTTGCTGGTTCAAGTACAGCATAGATAGCTATTTACTCAAATTCTCTTTTGAGGGAATTTTTTTTTATCTGGGAATTTGAACCCTCTCTGAGTCACCAACAGAAATGTTTGAAAACTGTCATCTCTCCTCAACTCATTTTGTGGTTGGAAGAAACTTTGCTTGGGTCACTGGAAATTAAAAGTAAATGATTTAACGAAAATATTTTATACCAGAAAAGGTGAAATAGTAGTGCTTTCTGTTTTAGGACATCTTATGGGTGATCAGGAATAGGTTCTGAGAGTATCATACAGATAGTCCCATTGTAGTTAAAATTAGGGTACATTTTTGTTTGGTTATGTTTTGGATGGTTATTTTTCCCCCATATTAAGAGTTGCTGTATAAAATTAGTTCACTTCACTGGTATATTTCATCACTATCACTGTCACCGTCCTCCCGTTGTTCATTGATTTGCTTGAGGGGGCCCAGTAACGTCTCCATTTTGAGACTTGTTACTGTGTTTGGCATATCGAATACATCACGGGTAGATTGCCAGGCTTTGCCGTGTGGGCGAGATACTCTTGGTAGCTTGCCTGGCTTTCCGAGAGGGGTGGAGGAATCGAATCTGGCTCGGCCGGGCTGGCTGCACACAAGGCAATGCCCTACTGCTGTGCTATTGCTCCAGCCCAGTTATATTTCATAAAATTAAATATTTGGCAAAATTATTTATTTTTATAACCAGCTACTTTTGTTTCATTTTTGAAAGTTTTGGATTGGTATGTATTTTAAAAAACTAATTATTGAGGTATCCTAGTTTATACTAATATTGACGTTGCTATTTTACGGTTGTAGAGCAGCTATCCAAATCCCTCCTTCGCTATTTCCAGATTCTTCTACCATTGTCTCATAGTTCCCCCAACTCTGGAAAAATTATTTAGCTGAGTAACTGACAGTTCTCTAAAAGTGTTAAAATTAGGGGCCAGAGCAATAGCACAGGGGGTACTGCATTTGCCTTGCATGTGACCCATCTGAGCTCAATTCCTGGTTTTCTGGTATGGATCCCCTGAGTTATCCCTGAGCACAAAGTTAAGGAGTAAATCCAGAGCACGTCTGGGTGTGACCCCAAATTAAGACAAAAATAAAAGTGCTAAAATTAGCTGTGAGGATTTTCTGGTGTAGTCTGAACACTCCCTATTATTTTTCTAGTGTCTATTTTTCCCTTAACTTGTGTTCTATTCCCTTTAATGTCTACAATAAATTTATAAAATTATTTTCACTTATAAATGATTCACTAATACCTTGTCTTTAAGATGTCAGGTTAATTCAAAGGGAAACTTAGTGAGGAATAATGTATTCACAAGATTTAATAGATTTGATTTCAAAATAATCAACCCTCTGAAGGCCCAATTTTAAAATAGAGTGCTGTGTTTGATCATTTTTTTCCATCAAGAATGTATTAGAGTCCCTGAATAATAACTACTTGGAATATCCTATTATCATAATCACACAGCATAAACTATTTAGTCTGACTTTACCAAAGAAGATAAACTCCTTCAGCAGTGTTGGGACTTGAAATGAGTTTGTATTGAGTCAGCTGTGGCAACAGTCTGCCCTAATTTTCAGTTTTTTGGAAAGGCATTTTGCAGTAAGGCGTTTGTAGTAAGATGAAGTAGTTAGTGTCACAGGTTTGATGCACTGTTACTTTTGGTTTGACAGAGTCATTGGTATGTGTAGATCTATTCCAAGTAGGTGAAGTAGAGAGAAAAGAGACTGGGTCAATTTTAGTTCTGAACCTCAGGCAGAATAAAGGGAATGGGATCACCCCATAACAAGGCACTTCTTTAGTCTTTTCTCAGACTTGAAGAGTTTAAGGAAGAGAGAGCTAGTTAGTGCACTTTGGTCTTAGTGATCTTTCCCTTACATATTATGTTTTCTTATGAAATTGTCTACTGGTACCAGGGAACTTGCATGCAAAAGTAGAAGGCAATTTTCTCGTTCAAGGAGTTTTCATTCAGGAGGACAATTCCCGGGCAAGTAATTAACTGCAGTCCTGTGATTACTGAAACAGTGAAGTGAAAAAGGATGGGGTGACAAGGTAGAAGTTGCTCCAGGCCTGCCTGGGGAAAATGCTCCTTCCATTTTCATTTGCGAAGAGAAATTGCATGTGTCAAATGTTCAAACGATCATTTCCTTACCTGTGGGCAAAGCACAAAGAGAAGCAATTGTAATTGATCACCAAGTACAAGATACTCATCTTCATGTCTCAGAAATCCTTGAGCCCAGAAATTGTAGTGAGATAAACAAGTGTATTCCTAAAACAAATTACTAAGCAG